CTCCCCCCCCCTCCCCTTATCATTTTTCGATTCTCTTCTTTTCGATATAATTATTTCGCTCAATTAAAAATTGTTAATTATTTACATAACTGTGGGTGATAATTATTATTATTATTATTATAACATCTTCAATTAATAGTTCTATTCAATGATCATGCTAACACATGTAATTATGTTACTAAAAGAAATACATGTATTTGATAAGCCTTCCAAATAATAAACTAATCTAAAATCCTTGGAGGCTGAAAATATGAAGTTAATCAAGAAATAAACTTGGTGGCTTCAACTGTGCTTGAGAAATAATCGCGTTGCGAATTGAAAACCATCTTGATGTCTTCTAGCCGGTCTCATTCCTTTACCAATATGTGTCTAATTTATTGATCCCTGTGTCCAGATGTCCTTCCACTGTTAATAATTTAAACTTTGCCTTTTGTGTTGGATAACAAATAAGCAAATATCATCATTCAGAATTATTGGATATATGTTTTTTTAAGAAAACAAAGTTAATAAGTCTGCACGCCCCTGTGTATTGCATACCTATTGACTCATACATTCTCTGTCAATGAATAAAGAACGTGAAATCAGTCAACCACCTAATGGTAGTTCATTTCATCCACTCATCGCAATCCGGATAATCCTCCCTAAATACTGGCGTCCCTCCCTTTCATTCCAACCCCCCCCCCTCTCATTGATTTCCTATCGTCGATACGCAGGTGTGAGACACAACTATTGATCTTCTCATTCAGTAAAGAATGGTGTTACTCCAAAGGGTTTAAACAGTAGTAGCCATAGTTTTCAACTTCTGATACACATCAGAGAGAACTCAACTTTTAAAATGAAATGATTGCTTCTGAAGAATCTATTTATTTCGTTGAACGGCAATTGATTTAAAATTAGTGAATGGAAGTCCACCTCGAGTAACGCAAAAAATACATAATAACATAATTGATGTACATAATGGGAAATTTTTCGAGTTCATAGCTTGCATTGCATATTCAATATTATATATATACACACTTTTTGGCGTGAATAAATAGCTTAACAAATAGAATTCTTATATCATTGTGTCTCAGATTTCGCTGAGTTCTGTGCAAAATAAAAGGAGAAAAATTGGTCAATAAACGAGGTTCAAGTAAAGCAAAACTAAAATCATTTAAAATTTACCGGTAAGTCAATTTCATTGAAAGAAGGAGAAATGCTGTTTATTAGAACATCTTGAACAAGTGCAGATTCCAAATCCTGAATGTAGTCGATGATGTGTTGAAGTAATTCCAATTTCTTTATTCGTTTATGCCCACGTATGGAAGGGACCATTCTCTTTAGTTGGATCAAACACTTATTTACAGAGGAGGATTTTCTGCAAGTGACTCTGCCTAAAGCCATCACGACTCTAGGAGCTTTCACTGCCCTGTATATTGGTATATTCGCTTGCTCCAGTTAAGCCATAGCAGCTTTTCTCATTCGCTATTGGATAATGCTAGGAAAGTGAGAGTTGACCAATACGATGCCAGCCAATGAGATAATAGCGAGACTGTATTTTGCTTTCCCAATTGATAATTGGCGAGACAGTTACTCATGCTTATTAACTTGTAGCTTATTTTGTAAAAAAGTGTTAATATTTCCAAATAAAAAAATACATTCAATGTTCTTCGTTTTTAATAGACATTTGATTAAGATCAAAAGTAAGCAAGTTTTGTAGATCATAATAAATAAGTATTATTTTATTAGCTTTCCCATATTCTTACAAGGAACATATATTCAAATTAAGCGATTTTGTTTCTACTTCTCTGGGTAGGCCATTGTCCATGACATTCTGCGCTTTGTGATTAGTTACTTCATTACTATACATGGTAGCAACGCCTCATTGTCTTTGTATCTATTTTCTTACACCCAAAAGCGGGTAGATGAAAGTAACAATGACTTTTTGACACATCAAATGTCAGTAGTAACTGAATCTATCGGTGTTCATATTACTTGTTACAAATATGAGTATCAATTTGAGCGACTTTACTATCTGATTTCCAAAAACTGAGATATTTGAGCAACGTAGTTATAATTTGATTTATAGGTTAGTCTAAGGCTATGCTTCAACTTGATTGGCCGATATTTTTGTAAAGGGGGAGGGGAGTTAATTCAATCGTAGCTACTAATGCCTAGCAATAGAAGTAGCTTAATATATAAAAAATTGTTAAAAAATTTTTAATTTTTTTATCGGCTTTCCATTATTTTTAATGTACACATAATGAAGTCTATTTGAGCCCCAGCAGTTTCAAAATTAATTTATTCATACTGGTGGACTTTCCCACATTTTACTCAAACCGATTTAGATAATAGTTCGGATTTCGTAATCATTGCTTGAACTCACTCACCGTCATGCTATTCTTTACTGTGCTGCAAGTAGAACTTTAAGGGGGTAATTGAATAAAACAATATTACTAGGAAAGAACTAATATTTTTCCCAAATCCTATTTTCCAACCTATATATTTTTTTCACTAGGTAGTGATCGAGGAAGCTTTTCTTAGGTTAAGACTGGTTTTATTTAGATCAAATCTACTTTACAAGATTTTGCTTTATTTTAATCAACTTTCCTGTGCAACTACTGTCAAGAGAATACAGTGTCTCAGAGGACTTTACCTGTTGGCCTAACAAGTAAAGTCTTGATTAATTATTGGCAGATCAATTAAATTGCAATATTTAAGTAAATGGAAGGGCTTCCCGCATTCATTACACGGACAAGTCCTTGTAATTTGAAAGCCCCACCAAGTAGTACTTACTTAAAAATGTTGCTGGTAGACTGGCCTAAATATACCTAATAATGTCGAGATGTTAATTCCACATCCAATGGGGAGAGTCCTTCCCCTATCACCCTAAATTAAGGCCTTAAATATACATATCTACTCGTCCAGACACAGCAAAGTACACTTCGCTCACCAGGTGTGTGATAGACTTACCTCCACGTGGTGCACCCTGGGCAACGTATACTCATACGGCAAAAAGTCTATTATTCGGCAGTTGACATCTGATTTCAAACTGCCATGACCCCACTGTATGTCATATTCGACCCCTTTCACAGCCCCCATCTTACCTACCTCCGTCTTTGAAACACTCTTCTGTTCCCCTCCGCTCCCCCTCCCCCTCTCGATTTTTTTCACTTTGATGCTCCTTCCCTCTGTGAAGCCTGAAGTCAACTAAAGGGCTAATGATAACCATCAAAACGCCTGCTATTTGATATAATAATAATAACTTTGCTCACCAAGTTGGATTTTCCTACTTAATTCGGACTTCTATTGAATTATTTTTTAACAAACTTCATTACTGTGAATCGGAGCTATTAGTTATGTCTTTCTTTGTTCTATCATACTGCACAAAATATGCTTGAAAACGAGTTAATCAAACACCACCCATTAAAAGACCCCCAAAGAGGTTTCGCGGTCCCAATTCAAATCAATTTTTATAATTTGCATTCCATTCTATCTCAGTGGAAAGCATGCATGCATGCATATTGAACATAGAAGACAGACTAAATCGGAAATCCATTGAGATATTAGAACATACTCTCTTTCATTCTAAACCAAGCTTATGAATAAAGACGCTCAGAAATGGGGAATGGCATCTTATAAAATCGTTTAGCCCACAAAAGATTGACTTTGAACAATGAAATTAATGAATGCTTGAAAGACATCGCGTCATTCCATTTCAGGTGAGTGATAGTATGCTGTAAATGAATACAAAAGGCAGTTTGACCAGTGAACACTTTATTCAAATCTCATCGTCTCAATAGAGGTAATGATTAGGTAACAGACGATTGCAAAAATTCCCTTATAAGTAGAGGCGTCAAGATAATCATGAGCATATAGGCCAAAGTGCTGAAAACTATTATTAGAAATTCTAGAGGATCAACTTCATGTTCATCGTTGGGTGATTGGTCTGGAAATTCCATGTCAAAATTTGGCATCATGAATTCCTCAGGAATAGATGTATAGAGGTGCCTATGGTCGATACCTCTGTTTCCTAAAAGTTCCCCAACTCTGGAGTCCTCGTGGAATGAAGCTTCAGGGGGTTCATTTAGAAGTTCTTCGAGCGATCTTGCGGTTGATTCTGCGGGAACTTCAAAAATGATAAATCGTCTTCGATGATTTCCTATTTCGTCCATTCTCCGGGAACTAAAAAATTTCTTTATGCTCCTCTTTGCTCCTTGAAATAGTTGCTCCTTAGCTCTCTGAAAAGTTGGTATTAAATAATCTACACAATTAACTCATTTAAAATTCAAAATTTGCTAGGCTTTTAATCAACACTAATCAGGAATAATTTTAGTTGTAGCCTTAATACCACGCATTTTACTACTTTAAATAAGCTCTCAAGAAAGATGGCTTCCGTTTTAGTTAAGCTCACTGGAACAATTATGTTGATAAATGAAATCAGTTTTAGATGAGTTCAGCCTAACATGACACTGCCTTTAGGTAAGAGAACGTTTACAAATTTTGCCAATTCAATAAATAAAACGGCAATCTAGGCCAATTGAGCCAAAGACATTAGCGGAAGTCACTAATTGTGGAAGTGGGCCAAGGCTTCAAAAATCTCACATTAACTGGACTTGAGAAAGCATCAAGTATTATATTTTCATCAAGGGCGCGCATTGGACTTACCTCCACGCAATGCACCCTGGCCAACGTACACTCATACGGCAAAAAAGTATATAAACCGGAAGTTGACTTCTTACTTCAAACTACCATGATCCCACTGTATGCCATATTCCATCAATTCCACCGTATTCCCCTTACCTTTTCTCTGCCCCTTTTATATCTGTGAACCACTCTTCTCTTCCCACTTTGGAATTTTTTGACTTTGTCTGTTCCTCCCCTCTGTGAAGCCCGAAGTCAACTAAAGGGCTGTTGATAACTATCAAAACGCCTGCCATTTGATTTAAATAAATATATTAATATTTTTCGAAAGAAAAGAGTTCACGTTGTGAAGTCATATTAAATTTCCATCATTTGACTCCCACGTTTTTGGTTGAGATTATTTTCACACCATTCAAAGTTTACTGGCAGGTCCATTGAATTCTGTGATTGTTCAATATCAGGTAGATGAGGGCGGAAATGACGTCCATTCCACCATTTAACATCATTAAAGACGAAATAGTCGCAAAGGAGAATTCAACACTACGTTAATTCATTTCGTTTTTTATATACTGAAACCAGAGTTTTCAAGTATTCAAATATTTCGGTGGGTACATAACTCCTCTATCGATTGGGTGGTAATAAAAATTTGTTTTTTATTATTACCATTAAGCGAATATAGTCCTTAATTACATTGCTACTTGTTTTATATCAGTAACGTGGGGGCGTGTGATAGACTTACCTCCACGTGGTGCACCCTACGCAATGCATACTCATATGGCAAAAAATTCTATAAACCGGCAGTTGACTTCTGACTTCAAACTACCATCACCGCACTGTATGTCATATTCGACTACTTCCATAGTACTCACCTTTTTCACTCTACCTTTGTGTCTGTCTCTTTTACATCTTTGAAACACTCTTCTCTCCCCCCCCCCTCTCGACTTTTTTCAATTTGATATACCTTCCTCTCTGTGAAGCCTGAAGTCAAATAAGGCCATTTGATATAAATAAATATCAGTAACGTTTTATAAAACGTGGCATCATAAAAAGACGACATCTCACAGTGTTCTAGTGCAATTCGGACAAGCGCATTGAAAGTTCGTCGCATTCATAGAAGATAGCGGAACAACATCACAATCCTAATTTATAGCATTTTTTAATTCACATTATTGCCCGTCCACCGTTTTCTTGCCATTTTTTCTATTAATTCAATACTTAGTTTAATTCAATTTATCATTTTAGTTCCGATTACTTGGATTTGCAGTAGACTGAAGTATTTATTTCAAATGGCAGGCCTTATGATATTTATCATTAGCCCTTAAACTTTGACTTCAGCTTTCCCCATGGGTGGGGGGAGTACATATATAGCAGTTAATTAATAGTAGTTCATTAGCTGTCTTCTTGCTTCCCAGTATCTCTGTGTTTCCGTCGTTGTCTTTAGGGCTGGACACCGAATCAGGTGGGTCTTCTCCATTTCCTCCTGTAGGTTACATAGGGGGTATGTGGGTTGAGTGTATACTCCCAATCTATGAAGGTGTTTTGCCAAGCAATCGTGTCCGGTACGTAGTCCGTGGAAGTCAAATCGAATTCCGAGTGATAGACTTTTTTTGCCGTACGAAGATACGTTGTCCAGGGTGCACGACGTGGAGCTAAGCCTATCGCGCACCCCCAGTAGACTGAAGTAAATACTACCTTTGACTTCATTAGTTAACCACTCGCAGACAAATCTAGCGTTGAGTACTTTCAAATGTTTAATCTAGGCAGCACCAATGAAGACAGAGGATGTAATGTGGAATGACTTTACCACAAAATTTGAGATATGAAGTTAGATAAAAAACGGTTCTTTTGTGTAAGGGTAATTAATAGTTTGGCAATAATAGTGTCTCGAACGCTGATTGGTCTTGGTAGATATTCAACTCTGATTGGTTGGTGAAATCTGCAGACAATAATTTTATTATTCGTTTTGCTAACGTATATAATGAGCTGCCTTACACTTTTGATGATGCTCTAATGTGTGTTGAGTTTGTGCAATCACTACAAAGTACTCTTGAAAGAAGTCGAGTCATGATTAATGTACACCTTTTTAATACCAAAAAAGATTAATTGGTTGACGGGAGATAGGTTAGGGGAAGACATTCCGGCAATTATGAGAATGTTAAAGTCATGAATCTCAACAATTCATTTGGTTCTTTCAGGTAATGGATAATAGTAGAAATTACCATGAGCATGATTATAAAGAGGGAAATAATTATCCAATCGAATTCTTCATTTTCATCCTCTTCGTGTTCTGCCACTGCGTCGGTATCTAATGTGATATTGCAATTAATTTCTAAAAACCATTCTTACTTGCCATCCCAAGGAAATTAAATTCTATCTAAAATAACTGAATATGTCTCGTCTAATTAGTAATCAAGTTAGCTTAAACAAAGTGAAACTCATATTTGACCGCAATTTATGAAAATATTGTCTTAAGTCGATTTTTTTCCTAAAATTAGCTAATCAATTATAGCAAAAACCAACAAACCACTGGCCACAAGCCCTTTAGATTTTCTTTTTTCCATTTCCGTGTTTGCAAATAGAAAATCTCAAGTTATTGATACCTATTTTCTCAACTTTAAAGGTTCATTTTTAAAGGAAATGTGGTCTTTTTCTGTCTCTTTTAAAACCAATAATGAAACTAGTTTAAGGCTTTCATTAATTTTCCTGTTTAGCATCCTGTTAGAAATGTATTAATTAAATTGTCGGTGGCGTATTCTAAATTGACCTTTATTAAGTCGTGTCTTATTTTAAGGGCAAGCGAATATGACGTAACACATAAGCTAGAGCTTTTAAAACATACGGAAATAAGTCCAAAGTAGCAAAAAAGATTATAAGTACCGGGGTTAAACGGAAAATTCTGTTTCAAGAAACTGTTTTTGGAACCAGGGGAGTGCGATAGACCTGCCTCCACGTGATGCACCCTGGGCAACGTATACTCATACGGCAAAAAGTCTATAAACCGGCAGTTGACTTCTCACTTCAAACTACCATCACCCCCACTGTATGTCATATTCGAACCCTTCACAGTACTCATCTTACCTTTACTCTACCTTTGTGTCTGTCTATCTCTTTTACGTCTTTGAATCACTCTTCTCTTTCACCTCTCCACTTTTCCCACCTTAATGTTCCTCCTCCTCTCTGTGCAATCCGAAGTCAGCTAAAGGACTAATGATAACTATCAAAATGCTTGCCAATTGATATAAATAAATAAATATATAATAATGATATTCTTTGTTTTAAACTTTTGAAGCCGCGGCAAAGAGCAACTTGTGAAGGATCCCATTTCTGTAATTTACCGTGCTATCAATAATTAAATGGATTCATACAATTCCCAATCTTATATGGGTAACGTACTTTCCTCGTTAGATATTCGAAATATTCAGCAAGTTCTTCCCCATTACTGAAAGGGGGTATTCGATGCGAGAGAATAGAGGTATCTTGCTCACCTTTTTGCATATAATTTTTTATTTTTACCAAATCTGCCCTTTGCGGCAATATGTCTGAATTCAAGGTGTACATTTAATTATTTTCTAGGTTTATAGTAAATTGTTTGCTTAAGTTAGCCACAAAGTATTATTTCAAGATACCAATGCTTCATATGTGGCGCGATTTTTATTTGACATTTATCCATGAGGAGTGTAGATTGATTGCCTTCCCTTCAAATACTGAAACTAACAGTTGCTAAAACTTGATTTCAATGAAGCAAAACTTAATCACATTTCGTGCAGGGAATCTCATACGAATTTGCACTAATGTTCATTTAATTGTTGTTGTTTAATTTGTTGTTGTTTGTTTAATTGATGTTGTTTGCAAAAGGACATTCTTGGTGCTCATTTCAATATATAGAGACTATTAATTTAGACTATTGATTTTCTTGGGAAAAAAATATATTGCCATTGGTCCATTCGTTAATTTGTGGTCACATGAGTTGGATTTGTTTGCATAGTTTACATATTTGAGTTTTTTCAATTTTTTAATCTCACTTCATTTGACCTTGGAAAATTTGTCCATTCGTCATACACTCGAACCCTTCGCATCATTTTGTATTTGCATCGTGTACATGTGTTTTAGAGATAGTTTATATTTTCCTATTTCGCTCTAATGGTTTCCTTTTCAAATAATTAATTGATTTTCTTTTCATAAAAATCTTTATATTGGCCTCAATTTTTCATGAATTTATGTGATAGTGTCGACGATTTCTCCGGTGACAGACGGCGTTATTACTTACTTATATTATTTCTTGAAGTCGGGCTTAAATGACATTTTTATTTCACCTTCAGGAGAATAAGGCTTTAGAAATGATGCCTATTACTGACACCATTGTTAAGTAGCAATATTTATTAAGTGCGTCGATAAATTTTAAGGGGTTGCTGCCAATTTTATCTTCCCGTTCTTGATGTAATAAGGCACTAACAATTCAGAGGTGATGCTGAATTAAATCAACCGGCCATCAAGCCCTTCATCTTGAGGACAAAATCTCACCAGTGAACCA